TGCTCTGGCTTCAGAGTTCTCTTACAATATACTTTACAATGTTTAGTAGACTGAAAACCTGAGTCCAGTTGCTCCCATACAGTTACTTCCCTTTAGATACCATGGCACTCTTCATCCTAGCTGATCTAATTTTCCTAAGCAGTAAATATACTTCTAAACAAAATAGTAGACTGCACTCTTGTGTCAACCTTCTTTTCTAAGAAATATATAATGTATTGGGACTAGAAAAAAAAACCCTGGAAGTTAAATTTGCTTTATATGTGTGAGCTTCCTGCACCCATACAATTTTAAGATTGTAAGTAATGTTTTAAAAAATAAATTGGTTGGGCAGAAAGCTTGATAATGCCAAAGAAAGTTTCCATACCATATTGATAACCATAAAGATCACACAAGTTAAATATAATAGAACCTTAATTACCATAAGACGGTTCCATAGAGTCCAATTCTTCTTGATAACAAAATATGAAAATGGTTAAATCAAAGCTTTTGCACTAACATTTTACATCCAAGAGGCAATGCATATTGTAATTCCATATCAGCAGAGAATCCAACTTCCTGCAGACTTATACATATTTCCTCCATCCTCCATTCACCCATAGTTTCTAACCTATAACTGTGTCACACTATGCTTAAGAGTTTGCTGATGAGATCAGATAAAATATCTGAACTGGGTTAGCATCTTGATTTTCCCTCAGTCAGGGAAAACTGAATAAATAATGCAAAGTAGTAAGAAGTGCACAATGCAGTCTTCAAAAAAGAACTGCACTAACTTATTTCATCTTGTGGAAGCACAAGTTAATCAATACACTATAATGTGTTAATTTGTTGGCATCAAATATGAATAATTCTGAACAGAGATTATCGTGTCATTGCTCTGTACCAAATATCAGAATTTAGAACAGAAGGGCACAGCAAAACATGAATGAGAACACACGTATGATTATATAATCCTGAAAATGCCATAATAGCTTACCTACCTCCAGACTGTCTGATGCAAATAAGAAATTTGCATTTGCATGACTGCCTCATCCTGCAGCACATGTCATCACTTTCCAAAGCCCATGAATCTTGATCTGAACAGTTTTAATGTTTTCATTCTTAGCATTTTAGGCTTACTGTTTTTGGGGCACTGAAGAAGAGAGAAAATTATGCTCCTTCATAATCTATTACATTATTGCATTGTTTTTAGATATGGAAGTAAAACCATAATTTATAGACTATCAGAATGTATAGTTTCCTAATTAAGATTAACTGCATCTGAAAGGAAACATATGAAATAAATAACACTACAAGAGAAAAGAAATTACAAGACTTTGTTACAAACCAGGAGGGGAGATTATATAAACACGTATTGGCAGACACCTCCCAAAGGCTCCCTAGGGGAAAAAGATTATTATACTAAGCTGCAAGCAATCAGGCTGAATCTTAGTCTGTCCAAGGAATTCTTCCTTCAACTCACTTTTAGGCAGGAAAAAAAAAAAAAAAGCAGGATCTTGGATCTTTGGATCTTTTTATCCAAAGTTCAGAAATACAGAACTTTTGTAGTACCCATGAAACACAAAAAGCAGTTGTGTAACTCTGCAGACCTCCATGAGAAGGAGAGGAAGGAGAGGATTTCTTTTATTAAACCAATCAACTGAAATGTGTAGATATGAAAAGGAATGTATGACAGAAAAGGGAATACAGAAAAACAAAACAAAATGTATTCCATAGTTTGATTTCATGTAAGACATACTATTTAAATAATAAGAATCAGTTCTCTATTATTGTTCTTCTCCTATGTCACCTATATATATATATGAGTAACATATGTGTGTGTGTTACATATATTTATATTTAAACTCTTCAGTTCTTACACTAATGGGATTGAATAAATGCAGGTCAATACCAGGTAAATCATTAATTTTTAAATATACTTTCTGCCATCATAGTTCAAATTAATAATGTTCCTTTCACTCTGAAAGCCCTAAAGGGCTTCCTAATATGTTTCAGTCCTTTGAACATCACATCATGGTGTGAAAAGAAAAAAAAATGTTCCACTTTGTGGATCCTTGTACATTAGAACCAGTAATGCTCTCTAGGCATCTCCAAAAATGAGCAACAAACAGGGCCCAAGGCAGAAGCAGATTCAAAGCATTACAACAGCTAAGATCAGATCTCTCATCCATTCAGTCTTCCTGAAATATTTACTGTATAAAATAGCTTGCTAGTTTTGCAAAATCTATCCAATTTTAATTTAAATTAAAACAAAATTAGACAAACTACTAGTTTTACACTTAGGATGGCTTTTTTAGGATTCCAATTTGGTATTTACAGTGTGTTATTTCCAGATTTCAGAGTGAGCTTCCTGGATTGTATCCAACACAGCCTTTGAGATTGGCCTCAGATAAAGCAAAAGTTCATCATTGTTATTTATAAAAGACTCAGTGAAAATTCAACTTTCAAGTGGACATTTGAAAGGGAAGGAAACCTCATCCCATGCCAAATCACAATACAGGAATAATACTGTCCTTCCTTCCTTGCAAAGTTGTTGCATAGAGGTCATAACTGTGAAGCTCTTTGAACATTTGCTAAATAAATGCATTAAAGTTATTATATTAATAGTGAGTGTTATGGCCCATTCCATCCATAATTTTCATGCTTATGTTTTCATATACTACACCCATGAAAGCACAACATGTATTTCTTATTTAAATGTTCTAGCCTACTTATTAACCTAATATGTAAAATAGGCATCTCAGTATAGGTAATACAAGCTAGCAGAATGTTCTGAGGAAATAAGTTTAGTAAGGTCCAGTTGCTCCCAGAAAGGTATATACAACAGCAATTTGAATACTTGCATACCACTCATCAGATGCACCTTCATCCTTCTTTCTTTTTTAATAATCTTTCATATTTGAAAATACCAGTAGCAAGGAAACATCCCAGCCTTTGAACTAAATGATGTTGAAGAACATAGAAGTTAGTTTCAAGGAAACATCTTTAGGACTAGTATGTAATATTTTTTTAAAGGTCAGTGCAACATTATGTATGTCTAAGCTAAGCTAGCAGGCTTCAAGAATAAGGGACAAGAATGTTCTAATTTCAAATATCAGCTAGCATTCTAAAATGGCTTTCTTCAAAAAATATCCAATTAGAACAAGATTCGTCTTCCAGGTAAATATGTGCAGGATTCTTGGAGGGGGGGGGGGGCTTTAATTCACTCATCGTCATTTATATGATTTGCATGGTTTTCCACTGAATCCATTCCAGTTAAGGATTTTGGTGATCAAAATATAAAGATATGAAACCCTGTTTAAATTAGTGTGTTTTGCTTTATTTTGTTTTGCTTTGTTTTGTTAATAAGGGCATATAGCTTCCATGTACATACTCAGGTGGGTACGTGATTAAAAAGTTCTCCTGACTATACAACATTAGGGTACAGATGCAGAGTACAGGTTAACAAAATCCACAATACATAGAAAACTATCACCTAATGACCTTTTGTGTGTGGCATCCTGTTTTGAAATGTGCATGGACAGTTGTTGTTTTTTTTTTTATTCTTGCTTTTCAAATCTTTCCTTGGGCAGAAAATTCAAACATGCAGTTTTTCTCTACATGAAGCCTGTTGCCTGTTCATTGCAGTCATAAATCGATAAAATTCTACGTACCCGTGAAGTGATCCAGTTCTGGAAAAAAATAATTTGATCCACTTGAATGTTTCTAGTCTAGCAAACATTTCAAATTGAGGCAAGATTTCAGTTATCTGAATAGAGAAAGTAGGGAGAGGGAGGAGGGAGGGAGGGGGAGAGAGAGGGAGGGGGAAGGAGAGGGAGAGGGAGAGAAAGGCAGAGGGAGAGAGAGATTTAAAGGAAGTTTGAACCCATTTAGCATGAACCGAGATATTCCAGATCAAGATGTAAATGTTACATCTAAATTGAGTGAGATTCCCTCCTGCCTACTGTACTTGGACATGCTTTTAAGCTTGCCTCAAGTCTCTGGGTGCTGGAAAGAAGTTTTTCCTGTACTTGATGGGCCTTCAGCTGGCTGCTTTTGAAAATGAAGGACTTTTAGTAAAAGTTAGCTCTTTTACTATTTAAACTCCCTCCCGAGACTGCCAAAAGTCTATTCTACATCCAGCTAGTAAGAGTGTGTTGTAACAATAAATTTTAGCCAATTTGTTAAGTAAGTGGGATGGGTTGTTTATGGATTCCTAAAAGCTTATTCTGAATAGGAGAAGAGGCCAATCAGACCAAGGCCACCGTAGCTACTGAAGGCACCTCAAAAATAAGCCTCACTAAGGATCCCAATGTAATTCAGAGGATTCTGTATGAAGAAACTGAAAAAGAGTCTAAATCTGGGATTCTATCTAAAGGGTAAACTCCTCAGCCAGGCAAACAGGCCTAGGCCTGTGCTGCAATCCCTTGGGCTTTCCTTAGGAACAACTTCCACTGAACTGGGGGGGGAGGGGGGCTCCCTTCAAAGAAAAGTTCAGAAAGCCCCTTGGAGGCTCTTAATAGTGGGCCAGCCTTCTGCTCCGTTTAGCCTCTTGAGGGGCACGAGGGACCGTTGTTCGCATCTTTCACCACCCAGGCTCCCCATCCATCCATCCATCCATCACGGGGCACGGGGAGCAGGGGGGTGACAAATGGACCTTGTTGCTGAGAGTCCCGGGGCCAAGCAAGCTCTTCTCCAGCATTCGAGTTTTCGGGACAAGCTTGCCTGCTGCCAAGAGCCGCCCAGCCACCTCGAGGGTTCCTGAGGTGAAGAGCTACTGCCCCCACCCCCGTCCCGGAGCAATGGACGCGTTTGTCTCTCCTAAGCACCGTGGGGGTTGCGGGGGTGGGGGTGGGGGTGGGGGGGTTGCCTCGGCTTTCTTTAGCCAACGCCCGTTTCGAACCCGCGCTGGCAACAGCCGCCAACCAAAGTTAGGAGCGGCGGCGGCGGCGGCGGCAGCAGCAAAAGCAGCAGAGCCGCCAGCGAGGGAAAGTGTTAATCAGGCGGCGCGGAGGTGGGGAGAGGCGCGCGGCGAGCGCAGCTATTCACTCGAACGTCACTCCGGTACAGGGGGTTAGTGAAGTGAGTGGGGCGCCTGGGGACTGGAGGCACTCACGAGCCGGGCTGACTCCAGCCAGGTATACACCAGATACCCTGAGCAATGTCTCCATTAGCGCGCGGCTGCCGCTGCCGCTCCCTCCTCCAAAGCGAACCGCAGCGGCTGAGGCGGAAAGAGGCGGCCCCCCTTTGCCATGGACAAGCCCTCGCCCGACGAGCCTAGGCGCAGCCCGGCGTGAATCCGCAACTCCCAAGGAAGACAACCCGGCTCCTTTCCCGACTTCTCCAGCTCGGCCTTTTCGCCCTTCCGACTCCCACCCCCCTCCTTCCACACCCTCCCCGTCAACAACCACCACCGCCGCCGCGTCCTTTATTTAGCCTGTCTTTCGGCAGCAAAAGCCGCCTGGAATAAGGAACCGCGAGCTGGAGGTGAGAGCGACGACCGGTGATCAATCATCCAGCGTCGGCACTGCTGTTTACAGGGGGAAAGGGACGCGTGGGGCGGGAGCTGGCGTTGCGGGGGGGGGGGAGCAAAAGAAGCCGACTGGCTCTAAAGTATAACTTTCGTGGGTATCCGCGGAAAGTGGGGTTGGTTGGTTGGTTGGTTGGTTGGTTGGTTGGTTGGTTGGTTGGTTGGTTGGTTGGTTGGTTGGTTGGTTGGTTGGTTGGTTGGTTGGTTGGTTGGTTGGTTGGTTGGTTGGTTGGTTGGTTGGGAGGGAGGGTAAAAGACAGCGATCCGCGTTTGCTGACCTTTGTTATGAAAGTTTGACGGATTCAGAGAAGTGCTAGCTTGTGTTCAGCGTATGCGATTGGGGGGGAAAGTGTCGGTGTAAGGGCTTGTGCGCCGGGGAGACTTTTCCAAGTGCAACCCTTTCCTTGTCTACCGAGGAGTAAGTGGATTCAACACGGGTTACTCCCCGCTGTGTGTGAATGTAGGGTTGCGAGCCCATTTTGTGCTGTAGTTTTCCGAAGAGCGAGGTACGCCTGGTTGAAATCGAACCCACGACTTCTTGCTGGAGGGAAGGAGGTCGACCTCTTTTGCTCGGTGGTGATGGCGCGGCACTCTGTACATGCTCGGGAGACCCTTTCATTAGGATTTGCGGCTCTGGGCTAGGTCTGCCTAGAGAGCGGGGCTGAGAAAGGCATCCCAAGCTGGCTTTCGCTTTAAGGATGCTCTCTGGGCTGAAGTTATTCAGGGACTGCCCCGCCGAAGTGGAGCGTAGTATGTTCTGATGGATTTCGCCGCAATGTAAGCCGCGAAAGAAAGGTAACGGGGATCCCGGTTGTTACCCACAATGGTAACTAAACCCCACCTGGTTTTGAGCTAACAGGAATTTTGTGTTGCTGGAAGCTGCTCTCTGACTTTATTGCCCATTACACCGCCCTTATATAGCGCACGCAAAAGGCGAACGCCTCAAAACTTCCGCGTGGAGCTTCAAGCTTTAAGCCGGGGCGGCGAGGGAGGGGGCGAGGGCCCAAGAGTCCCCTGGCCGGACAGATTTTTAAAAACAGTCGATGCAATTGCGACGGTTTTGTCCGAGACACCACCGGCTACTTTACGTTCAGCATCATCCCAAGCGAAGGGTCCTCTTCGTTTTTGCCCGGGCCACTTCAGAAGCCCCGCCAGCCCTGAAATAAAGAGCGGGGAAAGGCGGCAGCTTCTCCAAGGTCGCCGATTCTTAGTCCGCTTACTCAGCAGGACACCCGCTGACTTCGCTTGGAGTTATTCGCCGCTTAAATAAATGCAGGACCGCAACTCTCCTTCTCCCCACCCCTCACCACCACCACCACCCCGCGTCATCTGGAGGCCCGAAATGAGAAAGGGATAGGAATACCCCATTTCGTAATTTAATGCCGGAGGACGAACTGCAGAGTGCAATCCGGACTGAAGCCTTTTTACATTCAGAACTCGAGGTAGTAATTTCTGGGCATTTAAAACGAACGGCGGCTGGAAAACTCTGGCGCACCTGGCCAGATAAGACAGGCGTTTCTCTTACTATTCTGCATCTGCCAGCCAGACCGCCTCCCTTTGACATCTTGCAGAGCATCTGTCTAAACCGCTGGGCCTGTTCCCGCACTGCCTCCAGGTTTCAACTATTCCTGTGGAGGGGAGGGGGAAGGGAGGGGAGGGGGGGAAGGCACTTAGAAGCATCTGATTTTATTTCTTTAGAGGAGAAAGGCGCAGCTAGACACATGCGCGCGCAGCGAGATCCTGCAGACATACCCATGTTTCCCCCGCCTGCTCCTAAAGGTAGAGTTGGTTGGATATTGGATTGTTTCCCCTTTCTTTAGTATAACTTATTCTTTTTGGGATTTGAACTCTCGTGCTGGTGGAGGGCGTTCATTGGTTTCTCTGTCTAGAACTCTTGCGCCTTTACATTACCTGTGATTTGCCATTTAGTGAATGCTACCAGCGAAAGCGCGCCTCCACACTTTCCCCAGGATATCCGGGTGGGTAAGAGGGTTTTTTTTTGGGGGGGGAGCTCTGTTTTACGGGACGCCATCGCTCGTCCCTGTTCCTGCCTCCTCTAAAAGTTGGGGTGAAGGCGGTATGGACTACGACTCCGGGTAAGAAACCCAATAGCTGGGAAAGTGATCTTTTTTTAAAAAAATGGAAGCCGGCTGGAGAAAGTCGGGGAGTGCTTCAAACGCATCAGACTACAGAGCCCATAGTCCCCAGCGGCACTGTTGGGTATAATGATGAGACATGAAGTCCCCATATCTGAAAGACTAGACTGGAGAAGGTGACAAATTGGGGGGGGGACGCTTCACAAGGACTGGCATTCTTTACCCCACGGTAGGACTCGTTTCTGAATTCTTAGCGCAGACCACCATTCCTTAACTTTCTCTGGATAAGACGAGGCTAACTTCCCGGCGGTAGACACGGGGATGTGTCCCTGCCCTGCCCTCTAATCTAAAGCGTCAAAAATCGGCCTCCGAGTCAACCTGGTTCAGAAGAAAGTGTTGCGCTGCACGCAGAAGCGGATCCATTTTGAAAACAATCCCAGCGCCAATGGAACCGCCGGCGTTCAAGCAACAGGGACAGAAGAAAGTCGCCTTCGGCCAAGACTTCGGAGGGGACTCTCTCCTTCCAAAATCGGCAGCAAAAATTCCCCTGCCAGACTCTGGAGCAGCGCCTAAAAGAAGGAACCCTTTCGGGTTGGGGAGAGAGTCCTCCCTGTAGGCAAACTGGGATAAGCAGCAAATTCCCAGTACCTAAATCGGGGGTTGAAAATCGTCGCGAAGTTCTGCCCCCCCCCCCACCTCCAAGGTCCAGTGATGGGATTCAGCCAGTTCGCACCAGTTCGGCAGAACCGGTAGCTAATTTTTGGTGGCCCAGGCCCAGAATGGACTTCCGGAAGCGGCATCCACACAGAGAACCGGTTGTTCACATACTTGAATCCCACCACTGCCAAGGTCTCTTGCCCGCCCTTCCTCCCTCCTTCCCCCAAGTGCGGCGTCAAAGGTTGGGCTACTTTGGCGATCAGAGAAGCTGCACATCCACCCGCCCGCCCGCCCGCCCGTCCCGGTGGCCCCTAGGGTTGCAGTCCACAAACCCAGCTGAGGCTGGGCTTGGTTTAAGAATCCTTCCGCTTTCCAGGGGGTTTCTTCCTGGTCGTAACTGGGCTTAGGTGTGTGGATCCGAAGCAGCCCCCACTTCGAGCGGTCTCTCCCGAGGCTTAACATTCTTCGGAGTTAAACTGGTTGGAAGGGTTGCTTCAGGCGCCTCGCGGGGCCTCCCCTGCTGTTTTCCAGGGTAGCTTAATTGGCGAACTCCAAGTTTCCTGCAATCGTTTTCACAGGGAAAAAAAAAAAACCCGGGAGGATCCCGCTTCGCCTTTCGCTTTTAAGGAAAGTTGCCACCCGTTTCGTGCGCTCATGGGTGTTCTGTTGCTTCGGGGAAGCGGGTGCCTTTGAGCCCCTGGGGAAAGGGAATAAACCCCTTCCGTTTTCATCTAGACGCCCTTACTTGCTGAAAGGCAGGCAAGCCTCTGGCGATCCTCAACCCCAACCACGCAACGCTCTGCTCGCTTGTATAGACGGGATGATCTGCTACAACCCACCGGGATTGAGCTGCTACGCGCCGGGGAGCCCACCAAACCGCTTGGAACGATTCAGGAGTCGCCAGTGCCGGCTCCGCGGTGCCTAAAAAAGTGAAAGTGGCCCTGGAGGGAACGGGACTTGCCTCCTCTCCCAGAGGAATGCCTCTCTGTGTCAACCGAGTTAACCCTCGCTCTCTCTAGATCAGCCCGTGCTTTGGGTTCCCGCCCCTCCCGCGCCCTCCCCCTCTTCCCTCGTGTTCCTTGTCCGACACAATCTGGAAAGTTGCCCTTGTGCCTTGCAAAAGGACGCAGACTCCCGGAGACTGCCTTCCTTTTGGTCCAGCAGTGTTTGGAAAGGCCTCCGCTTTTGCTCCCGCGTTAAGATGGGAAAATAAAATACAAGTCCGGGAGGCACCAAGACCGTCCAGGGGACCGAAACCTTATTCTTGAGGTCCTAAGGTCCCCTCACCCCCGTTACGCATTCTGGAGAAATCTGTTCAGCTACTCGTTGGGTGCATTTATTCTCGTAAAAACAGCTGGGGCAGAAACGGGGAGGGGTGGACAGAGGAAGTGGACCCGATACAGCTTCGTTTCCCCTCCGTTTGAAACTCACCTTCAGTTGTCCTTTGCCTCCCCTTCCCCTCGGAATGAAGTGGGACTTTGGAATCACGCGGAGAACACGGTGGCTACTTGGAAGTCAGCCCTTTTGGGTGGCTTCCTAAATTAAGGAGATGTGATGAAATGAACTGGAAATTAAGAGTGCCGGCTGTCCTCCAGGTAAAAGTGACTGCCGACACCGGAATCCTGCAAGGATCTCTTTTCCAGAGGCGTGCTTGGGATCGGGGCCGTCTTAATTTTTGAAGGGGCCGCTATTGCGAAAACTCAACCTTCCTAGAGCCAAGCTTTTGCCTCGGTAAATTACAGCAATTACGCAGCAGATAGGATTATATGAGGTGTACTGCGGTCTCCAGATAGTCATCCATCACCCTCAATCGAGCTGTCAGAGCGGGCAGATTTGTCCCTGGGAGGCACCAAGTCTTCCAGCTGGGGAGAAGAAGGGAACATCGTCATTAATTAGAGTGTGACCCTGGGGCTATTCACATGTCTGAACCCAGGCAAGCTCTCCGAGCAAGTCTGCACTTCTGCCCTCCCCTCCCTCCACCCCAGCTGCCCTTCTCACTACAAATACACCAGGAGGCTTGCAAAACTCCTGAGGAGCTGGTTAGTTGCCCATTGCAAGGAGTCCTCCAAGCCCAGGACTCCTCTTTCCAAAGAATTCTTTCTCCTGCCTCCCTGTCCCAGACTACACACACACACACACACACACACACACACACACACACACACACACACCATACCTGGAGGAGAGGTGGGGGTGTCCTGATCTTAGCAAGGAGACCTAAGCAAAAGGGAGAAAAGTGGATGGGTAAAGGAGATGGGTACACTTTGAACACCTTCCATCCTTGTAAAGAATTTCTCATTCTAACCTCCTAAACTAAAACCAGCTCTACCAATAGGCAGAATGGAGCAGTTGACCTTGAGTTTCAAGAAAAGGCAATGGCATAAAAATTACTGGGTGTTTTGTTTTTTTTTTATTTCTGTCAATAAGAAGGAAACATATTTGTGGGATAACTGCATCTCTTTTTTGTAGCAACCACCTAGGTTTGGGGTGAGGAAGGTATCTGGCAGCAAAGTATCTTAAACTGGGCCTTGCCTAAGTAGGCTCTGACAAATTCTTTTGGATTTAGAGTCTATGTGCCACTCTTAAATGACTTTAGGCTCCATAAAAATGGTATCTAACCCTGCTAAGGTCCCTTAGCAGGCTTCCTGAATGGACTATTTTATATTCAGCCCTTAAGTTACCTTCATCCAAGGGTAAGAAACTAGTGATGATTTAAGGGCACCTTTGTATATCTGCTCACTTGGAAATAAATGGTCATTTAAATAAAGGATTACTTTAGGATTAATAATAAACAGGATGGGAATAAATGTTGAGGAAGGGGAGGGCAAGCAGTGTCTTGCATTTGTATACCTATATACTGCTGCTCACCTCCAACATGGAAAACATGTGGGTTTCCCCAGCTTTTCCCAGTTCTTTAGCCAGATTCCATCAAAATATGCTGTTCTACAAAGAGCATTTGCTCTTTGAATCCCTTTACTGAAATGCCATTTTTTTCCCCACTTTTATCTTGAACACTCTTCCAGAACTTCATGGGTTGAACCAATATGAGTCTCAAACTATCTTTTTTATCTGGGATGTAAGTCCAGCCAAGCATGAGTAATACAAACATAATCCCCAAATGTTCATTGTGTAGAGTTCCAGTCTAAGAATCCCTGAAAGCCATCTAGGGATGGTCTTTTGAACTCCTGCCTCCTGGGTTCTGCTACTGAAGTATTCAGCAGTACAGAAATTCCAGCTCTATTAAAATTAATTTGGCATTTGGCTGTTGACATCAGTGAAACATTTCTAATAGCAATGGTGTTAGTGATTTAACCTCACAGGCACATCCAGAGGGCTTGAGCAATTATTCTCATTAAATGTGAAAATACTGTACAATGATTAAACATGAAAATGTATTTAATGTTCAGATTAAAAGGGCCTAGCAAGAGCCTTGAGAACAATTGTCAGTGCTGAACTTGGGTAAATAGTTAGCATTCAAACCAACTAAACCTGGACACAAATTACACACATTAGGCATGTCTTGAGCTTATAGTAGGGTGGCTTTTATCTTTTAGTATTCTCTGTGTGGCTGTAACATCTGATCTAATGCTACCACCTTTTCCTGCTTCTCACTTTCCACTTTGGCTATGTTACAGTCTTAGCCAGATCAGACAGAAGCAGAGCAGGTGCCTCTGTGCAGCATAAGTTTGGTAAAATTGGGTTCAGTTTCCCACTACTATCATGGATTAAACATCTAGTTGGTTCTAATAACAGCATTGTCAAATTGTTAATTTGGAGGACTCCCTCCCATCATATGGCTCCGTGTTTGAAGAGTTTTTCATTCTTACTAATGTAAAATTTTTAAAAACTTAAACCATCAGACTTTGGAAGGGAAAATAATGCTACTTTGCTTCTTATTATTAGCAAATTTTGTTTTTTAGAATGGTCAAGTAGAATTCTGGAACTGTGGTGAATGTCATCTAGATTTAGATGGGACAGAACTGAACTTTGCAAAACAGAATCAAAGTTTGCTGGTCATAGGTGGTGAACTTTCATTCTGTCAGAGAGACAGAGAAAAACATCCTTACTAATTTTTTTTAATTGCTTCTCAGCAACACTTCAAGCATCATGTCAAGTATGTGGAAGGTGATGGAAAGAGATGAAGAACAAGAGCAATAAAGCGATTTCCACCCACCCATCAGATTCCAGCTGATAATTTACACTAGTGATAAATAAATCAAAGGAGGACTTGAAAAGCAATATAAAGAGCAGGCACAATAGCCTAGAAAACCAGGCCTAAAAGATCCAAATACAGGCCTTGAATATAGTCTTTTGCAATAAGAAATGAAAAGTTACCAGTGGCAGCATTTCACCAGAGCCTTATTTACACATAGACCAGCACTGTGGACAGATACTGGTCAGAACAAGCCAGAGCGAGTAGCACTGAAGAGATCAACGTAATCAGCTCCCAAGTCTCTTTCTCCACCTTGCATCTTACTAACAAGCATTGCCTTTTGCCCACAAGGTCGGGACGATTACACTGTCCTACTTTGCGGGACCAATGCTTGTATATCAAATGCCAGCAGCATTTCGAGGTATTCGCTAAAAGCTGCGGATCGGTATATCAGACTCAATCAAAGGTCGTAAACCATTTCGTTCCTCCATAACGGGACGTAGAAGTCCTCCTCACCAGACATGCCTGTTGTCTTTAAGATAATCCTCCCCCCAACCCCCACCTCCAAAAGTGCCCTTCTAAACAACTCCCAGCCTCCTAAAACAGCGAGAAGAGAGAAGTGCCTACTCTGAACGGGAGCGAGAGCTGTGGCTAATGGGTTCACAGGATCGGGGGCGAGGGCGGGCCAGGAGAGCAGGGGGGGGTCTCCTCTCGGCGCGCGCTTGGCTGTCAACCTCGGAGCTGCTTTCAACTGTTGATTTAAAAGCGCTGCTGGCACGCGTCCCTTGTTGGCCTCGTTTGTAAGCGGACTGATGACTACAGGACGGGGCGGGGGGAGGAGAGAGAGAGAGAAGTGGCAGGGCAGCTGCTCATTAATTAATTTCTAATTAAAAGTGCTTACCACCCTTCAGTGGTTCCGCGCACGCGCGCCGGGAAACGCGTGGGGAGGGGGGAGAGAGAGAGAGAGAGAGAGAGGAGAGGGAGAGAGGGAGGGAGAGAGAGAGAGAGAGGGAGGGAGGGAGAGAGAGAGAGAGAGGGAGGGAGGGAGAGGAGAGAGAGAGGGAGGGAGAGGAGAGGGAGGGAGGGAGGAGAGGGAGGGAGAGAGAGAGGGGCGGGAGGGAGTCCGAGCGTAACGTGGATGCCTCCTGCTTCGTCCTGGCGTGGTTCTCTCGGGGCGCCGCAGACTTCGGTCCCGCTTCACTACTAATCCACGGGCGAGAGAGTCGCCTTCCCCCCCGCCCCCAAGAAAGCAAACTCCGAGCTGTTCTGCGTTGCTTTGGGCGCCGCTTGAATCGCAGTCGCTCCAAAGGGAACACCCAGCCCAAACAAAAGAGGTGAACCCGGGGCAGGTCCTGTGGGGGGGGGGGTCTTCCCTGGCTGTTCCTGGCCTGGATTCGCGGATGGAGAGACGGGTCATTTTTCGCTCCCCGCCTTCCGCCGCCTGTGGATGGGCAAAATATGTTGTAGTGTGGTTAAGTGAGACAGGCGCCACTGGCCCAGCTCCTGAGGCAGCTCTTGCTTAAAACTGTTATTTGCATTTGTGTGCCGGCCGGAGGGGAGGGAGAAATACATCCACGCTACTTTTAAAAAAAAATGCAACGTCAGTAGTAATGTTCAATGTATTTTTATTTTTTATTTTTTGTATTTGGTACTCTAAGGCTCCTGGAAGCCCGAGTTATTCACTCACCGGGACCAGTAAGGCTGCCTCCCAAGCTCACAAACCCACCGCTTCTGCTGCTGCTTCCTGGACTTTGAGAGCACTCCAGTTGCCATGTCCTACCCCCAGTTTGGATACCCTTATTCATCTGCACCTCAGGTAAGACCAGCCCTACACAGACTGTACCAAATATTGCACTGGAATTCCCACACACACACACACCAAAAGTTCCCACTAAGGATAAATGTGGAAAAGCTTGTTTTTTTTTAATCTTTCTAGAGCAGTGTTTCTCAACCTTGACAATTTTAAGGCATGTGGAGTTCAACTCCCAGAATTCCACAGCCAGCAATGCTGCATGTGGAATTCTGGGAGTTGAAGTCCACATGCCTTAAAATTGTCAAGGTTGAGAAATACTGCTCTAGAGGGCAATACTGATATCACTGAAATCAAAAGCACTTACATCCAGGACTGCAAGATAGAAATGTGGAAGCTGGACAACCATTTTCACCTGGATAATTAGGCTTTGTGAACGGAATGTCTTTGCAGTCAGTGGGTTTTACTTCACAGTAGGATCGCCTGTCAATCCAAAATAAAGTTCAGTTGGAATCAGTTTATGGGTGGAAGGAGGACTGTGAAAAGTAAGAGACAGGGCAATTTTGGGAGGGAAGCTGCAGGGTTAACGGCCCAATCCCCTTTGCCTACTCCAGGGGTAGGCAACCTTGGCTCTTTTATGACTCATGGACTTCAACTCCCAGATTAAGTCCCACAGAATCTTCAGGGAACCCTAAACTAACTGAGCAAATATGTAAACTGTCTTTGATTCTCACAATACTCAGCACCAACAGGAAACCAAATCAGTTGGGCTTCTGGCTGAGTTCCATTCAGTTCTGCTTCCAGATGGGCAGAAAAGAAGACTTGGTCAATTCATATGACTGAGCACCTGGGAAAGAAAGGGTCGGGTGGAGGGTGGGTTAGCAGACCCACAAAAACCCACCATGCAGGCAATTCCACTTAAGATCCCCCAAAATCAGTCTCCCATGGAATGGCTGTCTGTACCTTTAGATTAAGCAATCTATTGCTCAAGGCAGGTGGGTGGATTAAATATTCCCTGAATCCTGGAATGACTGTTATAATAATAATTATTGAATGATTTTCACTGAGGACCTGGGAGCATATTTCTCAGAAGAAATCTGGAGCTTTTATTTAAGGGGGAAATGTTATGAGGAAGGCCCAAGAATAATATTCTGCCAATGTCAGTATAAACAGGTTTCTCCTTGGAAAGAATGAATTAATCCTGTAAAATATTTTTTTCTTTTCAACTAGCTTTCCCTCTTCAAGTGCTTTTTACACTACTACACGGTCTATACACTGGTGAACTGTAAAATACTTATTTAAAGATCACTAAAACCAGATCAATTATTCTTTCACTAGTTTCTTCTAGGGCAGTGGTTCTCAACTTGTGGGTCGGGACCCCATTTGGGGTCGAATGACCATTTCACAGGGGTCGCCAAACCACGCTGTCCGCCATTTTTTTCCCTTTTCCCTAGCTGTCCTACTCCCTCTTATTGGTGGCCACACCCACTTGGGGGTCACCACAACATGGGGAACTGTATTATGGGGTCACGGCATTAGAAAGGTTGAGAACCACTGTTCTAGGGATTGCAGAGAGCAGCTATACTCCATGCACAATTTTCTTCACAGCCAGATTAGATTAGAACAGTCATCTGAGTTAATTAACCCACTGAGCTGAGTAGGACATATTGCTGTATCTGAGCAGATATGCATAGGATCACTCTGGTCTTTGAGAGTTCAAACTATTGTTGGGGTTGGGTTCTGCAGATGACCATTTTGATATTTCTTCCATTTGAGTGGAATAACGCTCTTCTTACCCTTGGTTGAGATGATGTTAACTCTAAAACCCCAGGGCTGTACATGTGTAGGTGCCTAAACGGAGGGCAGGCAAGGGAGAAGAGAAAGTTTATTCCAGTTTATTATTAACTTTGAGAAACTGCAAATAATTTGCCTTGAAATCAGAGCAATGTTTGCCCCAGAAATGAGTTCTGTGATTTGGCATCAAAATGTACTTTACATAATTGATTGCTGGGTTGGCTAACCAGCCTCCTTGACTCCCAGGTCTCTCTCCTTTTCACCATCCTGTTCTTTCTTCTTCTAGTTCCTGATGACCACCAACTCCTTGTCAACTTGCTGTGAGACCAGTGGTAGGTCCTTGGCGGACTCGGGAGCAGCACCCTCCACTCAGACCCCTGTCTACTGTCCAGTATATGAGAGCAGGCTGCTGGCCACAGCCAGGCACGAACTCAATTCAGCAGCTGCTCTGGGAGTCTATGGGAATCCCTACACAAACACTCAAGGCTATGGCAATTATGTCACTTATGGGACAGAGGCATCAGCTTTCTATTCCTTGGTAAGTCTCTGCCATTGCTGTGCCCTGAATTTTCTCAAGGGAAGTAAGGAAGCCTACCAGCTGTTCCTAAGAGACTTAGTAAACTACTTCAGAAAACCTGGATTGGTCACCAATTGGGCTTGCCTAGATCTTAAGATCAGCCTCTAAGGCTGGGATGGAAGCTCAGTCTTAGAAAGTAAACATTTAGCTCAAAAATGAACTGAATTAGGATGAAAAATGTAGGAAATTGGGGTAACAATACCATTTAGCCCCTCTAGAACCAGTGGTTCTTTTTTTCCTAGACCTAGAAAGCTCTACATGCTTTGGAGAAAATTGGTGTCTACCACACACTTGGAGGGTACCTGATGGGGGAAGTTTAATAGGGGTTGGGCAATCTTCTCCACTCCAATTACACGCAGGTCTGGATGAAAACCCACATAGTCAACTGCAGACATTTTAATATAATCAATGATTGATAACCAAAGATGAATGCATGTAAAAACATACTATCCTCATTACACTCCACACTACACTACACTACACACACACAAATTTATACAGCAATTTTTATCCTGCATTCCTGATGCATATTCATCATAATCTTCTATAAAATATCACATACTGAATTGAGCAGGTAAAAGATCTGATCTGTTGAAAATTTTAAATATAACATAAACTTTGGTGTAAAATATTTGCTTCAAGCAAGACCACCATTAGTATCAATGGATTGGGCTCCTCATTGGAAGAAAGTGGAGTCTGATCCTCCACAGCTGTGAAGTTTCATTTTAACTTTTAGCTTCAACCTGGTTCAGAATTGCAATTTAGAATTTCAGGTTTCAAAGGACAGTAAATCTGGGAATTCGTGACTTAGTAGAGAGCTAGCATTTCCTGAAAAAAATGGATTTTTTTGTTAATCTCTTAATCCCCGGAAGAAAATTGCAAATCAGTGTGGATAATATTGTGCTCAGTGAAGTGTGTGTGTGTGTGTGTGTGTGTGTGTGTGTAAAAGAGAGAGAGACAAAGAGAGGGAGGGAGGGAGAGAGAGAGAGAGAGAGAGAGCGTCTTCTCCATACCCAAACAAATACACTTAGAAAGATCCCACTTGTTAGGTGTATTTCCTAACCTAAGGTGGTCTGCCATGATGTTTTCAATTTCAAGATCATTTGCCTATGCTTAATGACTTACCACATTGATAGCAATCTGTTTTGAACCCCTGAATGAAGAATGCATACAATTAAATCTTAGTCAAGTACAAGGGTGTGGGTTTAGTTTGGAAAAATACCCATTACATACCTGTTTTTGAATAAACAGGCATGAGTTTGGGCTGGTAATCAGTGCAGAATTTTCTTGCTAGGGGGAAAATACTCTATTTTTGATTGCATGGAGTACTTTGCTGTCTTGTTCCCATCTATGTTTCCTCGTGAGGAAGAAGAAATTGCCCCCTGCTTTGCTTTGTTTGCTTTCCCATTACTGGCAAGGAAAGGGGTAAGCTGAAAGAAGCCATTCTTGGTTTTCCTGTTCTAGAATAGCTTTGATTCAAAGGATGGGAGTGGATCTGCGCATGCGGGCATTACCCAGGCGACTGCTTACTATCCCTACGATCACACGCTCAGTCAGTATCAATATGACAGGTAAGAAACAAACAGCTATTAATTGCGAGGCGGGACAAGGGAGGGGCTGGGGGAGGACACTGGCTGTTTGCTCCCCCATTGGGAACCCGGTTTAAAGATAACTACACCCGTAAGCGTTTGTGGGGGTGGATCTCAGCACTTATAAATGTGGAGCAGTTGTGCTGAATGTCTGACTGCTTGCATGTTGACCTGGATGAATAATCCTGACTAGCAGCAGCACGTGCAAAATATATTAAGCTAAAATACAAATGATTATTCTGTTTAAATCAGTATGAGAAAACATCTCATTGACTTCTGTTGAAGCGTTCTCAGGTCTTCTTGTATTCTAGCCTATAGCTGAGAGATTATTTGTGCAAATGGATTACGCAAATCCTTCTAACCTCCATTAGGTGTTATGTATGGATTAGGTGTTATGTATGAATGCGTTTCCCACCCTGTGAAAAGCCCATGCTTTCAGCTATGGGAATGTTCGCTCTAGCGGTAATGGAGAGTAAGGCTGAAAAATGAATTAGGGAGTCATTTGGTCACATTCCCCCCACTGTGGAGGCTTAGAAAAACCTTTATCTTAACTGCACACTATCCCCATCTACAACTATAGGAGTCATTATGGACCTTCCTTAAAGGGTTTGAAACGCTGTACTGAAGTCAGGGGAGCCCCAATGACAATTGAAAGGGGCAGTATCCTATCACCCAGCATAGGATATACAAACAATTATCTATGCATTGATGTTCCCAAGTAATGTTTCTTGCATAGGTGAACTAGCTTTTAAACTGAACTCATCCTATTTACTTTAAAAAAAAATCTCAGTCGTATATAAGCCAGATGAAAAGACCTAGAGGGTTCAATTCAGCTTATCCCCATATTACTGGCTACAGGATTATCATCTGCAAAAAGTCCCACTGCATTTATTCACTGTAATTCTTCACACACTTCCCTGGGAACTGAGCTTTATGTCTGAGCATGCATGCATTGGTTTTTGCTATAAGCAGTCCAAGAAGGAAAGCACAGAAAGCAACTCCTTAATGAAACTACTTGCAGAACTCCAGTTTACTCATGCGCCTGCCCAGTCTTCATTTCCATATTGACTTTTTTTTTATCGTCTCTAGTCACAAACCCATAACTTTCTTCTAATCCCTTTTATCACTTTGGCCTCACAGCTCTATTTTCAAATTCCTATTTGTATTTCTTGAGAGGAATACCTAAGTGATCACACGAAGATCAGTCTCTCACTGATCAAGAGCCAGATCCGCCTTGGGTACTAGGTAATAATGACTGTGTTGAGTCTATGACCATGGAAGATTTAGGAATCTGCCTAGGTAGGTGTCATGAAAAAATAGCTTCTGCAAGGTTTCTCTGGGTCCAGCAGAAACTAATGTTTTGAAAGTTCAAGCCTGAAAGTTTTAGAGCACCTGAGATCACAGTGTTTCTCAACCTTGACAATTTTAAGGCACGTGGACTTCAACTCCCAGAATTCCACAGCCAGCAATGCTGGCTGTGGAATTCTGGGAGTTGAACTCCACATGCCTTAAAATTGTCAAGGTTGAGAAACACCGGAACAGTGAACCTCTAAACATTGTAGTCACCCAATGAGAATAGAAGTAAGCTCTGATTATGGAAGAAATCTTGAAGTGAAAAGATTGGGGTTTTTTTCTATAGTGATTGAATCCTTGTCTAGTTGTTCTCCCCTTCAATATTTTGCAGCCTTTAGGGTCAATGACAGCATTATCTTTAAATCTAGATATTTCCCTCATTTCAGTCCATCAGCATTGATTTAATCATTGCTTTCTCTTCGTTTATGATTCTTTTTTTCTCTTGGCTGCTTCACATAGGCATAAACCATGTTTGTTACCCAGAGCATTTTGCACTTCACAACTGGCATCCGAATGTGTGAACTTGCTCTAAGAATCAACCCTTAACTCATCCCTATGTATACTTTTCTTTCAGAGGCAGATTTCCAAATAGTTCCCATGAATTCAGATAGCTTAAAGTTGACACCCCCTCTTTTAACATCATGTTAAACAAACCTTTTTTTATCTTTGATCTCGTTTATTGCTTGTTTTCTAAAAGAACATGCGCCAAGAATCCCCCGCTTCCACTATTTCAACCTTTTAAGCCCAGTGGGTGCAGGTGACCTTTTCTTAGATGATGTATATTAAATATTCAGGCACAGTTTCAATATCTCTTTCTGTGTGTGTGTATACGAGAGTGAGAAGGAGAGAGTATTTTGCCGCTAATAAAAGGAAATATTTTTATTACCATCGCATGCAGAGGTTACTCGGAGGTCCTTACTGGAGAGAAGTAGCACCCCAAAAGGGATATTTTTCTGACACATTCCTTTTATATTAACTGTATATTAATTCCTCCCAAAGGCCACATTTCTTTGGCAAACCGTCTGCTGTAGTCTGATCCATCCTTCCCCGAGGAATCTCTATTGAATACAGTGATGCTTTCCAACAGCCCTGCCCTTCATCCCCAGCAGACTGCAGAGCCCATCCACATACTTCTACATAGTCAGATTGTTTATTGGACAAATGTTGAGTACTTACAGTTCTTACCCCCCAAATGAATGATTTGTGAGCTAGAAGAATCTCTATTCCATGGGTAGCAGTGAGACGTTCTCCTCAGTCAGAATAAAGGTAGGTCTGTTAAGTACCCGTCCTCTTTTTCTCACACTCTTTGTAACCACAGATATAGCACCATGGATGGAGGGACAAGGAGGAAAAACGCCACTCGGGAAACCACCAGCACGCTGAAAGCCTGGCTGCAGGAGCACCGCAAGAACCCTTACCCAACGAAAGGCGAGAAAATCATGCTGGCCATCATCACCAAAATGACCCTGACGCAGGTTTCCACCTGGTTTGCCAATGCCCGGAGGAGGCTCAAGAAGGAGAACAAGATGACATGGCCCCCGAGGAATAAGTGTGCCGATGAAAAAAGACCCTACGAGGAAGACGAGGATGGAGAAGGTCAAGGGGAGAATCTAAAGAATGAGAAAGTCGAGGGTATCGCTTAACACTTCCTTAAAATACTGCAAGCTTATACTTTTTCTCCCTATATTACCTTTGCCCACCCAGGGACTTTTAGACCTACTGGACTATAATTGTGTGTTGACCTAGGATGGTGGCAACTATAGTCCAATACATTTGGAGGCATCAGGTTGGGGAAGGCTTCCTTACATCTTCTGATCATCAGAGCAAATTGGAATATGCAGTCATCATCTGTTCCTGGGACTGTACAATATAACTATTGGGGAACACTTGGATATGGTATCCTAGTTCTCAGTTTATGGAGAAATTATCTATGAGGGGACGCTCTAGATTATATTTGATAATACAAGGACATATTTCACTCTTAGCAGGCAATAGCCTTGTAGTTGCATTGTGCAAACCAATACCCTTAACAACTCAATGGCTGTATTCGCATGACATGCTTTAACTTGATTTCCAAGTTAATCCATGTTCCCATAGCCCCATAAATTAACCTGATGTGTTGAGGTGGCGCAACACCCAACACCTAAAACAAAATCTAACCTAGATTAACACTAAACAAATTGTGCATGTTATGGTAATAGACCTTCTAAATCTTTTGTGATTAAGGAAGTGTAAATCCATCCACTACTCATAAGCAAATACACTTTCTTAGAGTTGCGAACAGTACTCTTGAATTCGAGAATTTTATTTTAGAAGGCATGATTTATAGCCAGTCCTGTCATATCATTCTTTGGGAAACTGGTACTCTCAGGTGTGCAGTGATGGGACTGTATTTATCTGGAGATGAGAGAAAGTTGCTGCATTCAGCTGTGTGCCAAGCTTAATCTGGCAGGGTGAGAGATGGGTATCAAATGATTGTTCCAAGGGTGGTTACTTCTCCAAGGCTCAAACCTAACTTGGAGAAGTAAAATTACATGCAAGAGGAAAAGAGTGGTAGATATAAATATTTAGTTGAAGTATTTTTTACTCCAGCTGGAGCGAATATCTTATTTCAGGCAGCATCTGTATCCATTTGAAAGGTTTTGACAAGTGACTACCAGCTTAAGTTTCCTAATAACCAGTTCCAAATAGTGGCTGACCGTTCACCAGAGTTAAGACTGAGGAAAAGTGAAAGGGGATTCTTGTGAATGATTTGTGCCAGACTGAGGAAGAGACATTTCATTCGCAAATGCTAGATAAGACGAGAATGAATTAAACAGTGTTTCCCCCTCTTCTATTCCCAGAATCCTCCGGGAAGGAGGACAAAGAGCTGGGCCTAAGCGACCTGGACGACTACGACCCACTAGAGTCGGAAAGCTCGGAGAGCGAGCTGAAGCCGCCAGCCTTCGGCCACGTGGAGAGCAGCGGCGCGTGCGCCAACGAGCCAAGCAAGGAGCCCACTCTGGGCGCGGGCGCGGCGGCTTCGCTGGAAAGCACCCTGGACAGAACCAAGAGCTGCCTGAAGGAGTCCGCGTCGGGGCCGGAAGGCTGCGAGGCGACGGAGCTGCTGAACGCCAGGCAAAGAAGCTGCGAGGCCAAGCCGTGTTACCAGCCGCAGCCGCCGCCTTCGCCGCTCCTCGAGGGCGGCGGGAAGCCGAGGATCTGGTCGCTGGCGCACACGGCCACCTCGCTCAACCAGGCGGAATACCCCTCGTGCATGCTGAAGCGCCAGCAGGGGGCGTCGAGCGGCGGCGGGGCGGCGCAGGCGGCCGGCGTCCTCGAGAGGCCTCCGAAGGATTCCCCCGTTACCAACCTCAGGAACTGGGTGGACGGCGTTTTCCACGACCCCCTCTTCAGACACAGTACACTGAACCAGGCCTTGAACAGCACTGCAGTGTCTTGGGCGACCACCAAGGGCTCCATCTTGGAGACGGGAGCCTTGGGGCGCTCGCTGGGGGGCGGAGCCGCCGTGCTCAAGGGGCAGCTGGCCGGCCTGGCTGGGCCTCAGGACTCCGGTAAAGACTTCCTGGCTTTTCCCAAAGCGGGTGGCAAAATGTTCTGCTCTTAACGACCGAGCCCCGTCCGCGTCCGCCTTCCCTGGGTCAGGGTGGGGGAGAAAAGGCAAGACGGGGGGAAAGACTCAGACCTGGTGAGCCGCTGAGGCCGGGATGGGTCCTGGCGGGGAACTCGAGAAAGACTTGGAGAGAGCTGAGATTTGGGCAGAGCACGTTTTACAGGAGCGGAACAGAACGGGGGATTTTAAAAATGCGGCTGGACATTTCATGCGGGAGAAAGAGATTCCCATTCTCAGCTTTTGGGAGGGGGGGGGGAGTTTTGATCACTTCCAGCAATCGAAGTTTTCATCACGAAGCTTGCCCTCTTGCGCACGCGGTACTCGCGCCGCCTTTGGAATGTCCCGGGGCAAGTTTACAGGGCGCGAGATTCAAATTCAGCTTCTTCGAGGAGGGGAGGGGGACGTTTGTCTCGTTCTTTTATTTCCTTTTAATTTGTGGCATGCCGATCTTAGTTACCAAAAATACTTTCTCGGACTTCCCCCCCCTCCTCTTTTCAGTATTAACATCTCATACACACACACACACACACACAAATCGCACTTCTTTCACCGAGTTAAACCCCATTGCGCTCCCGTACACAAACACAGAATTTTTGACCTTGACAAATAGGTTATGTCGAAAGGGTATGTTCACCCAAATAAATTGTCTGTCTCTCAGAGTTATCCTATGATTTGTGATCTCTTTGCCTTGCTTGTGAAAAAACTCCCCCCAGTGGGTTTTTGGAAAGGGAGACAAAAGTGAGTTTACGGGTACTTTTCGCCAGTCTATTTATTTCGAATGTCTATTTCGAAGTAGCTCCGTGAAAATGAGTATCACTTCCAAGTTAAATAGGTATCGAGCTTTTTGGAAGTCAGATAGTATAAATATGAATATTTTCATCCAGACTAGAGTCCGATACTGTACTTTCTAGAGTCACTTCACATGGCCTCCAGCGATAAAGGTCAAAAGACAAGACAAGGGGAGTTGTGGCACAACTTTTAAATCAACAGAGAATCTGTTGCAGCGCGAATTTTCTTATTAAACGACTTTTAAGCTCTATCAAGGGTTCGGTAGTTCAAGATGAAGCAGCGACGCTGGAGCAGCGGATGGTAGTGGCTGCTTAAAGAAAAATATTTCAATTATTTCTTACCGGGATCCCAAGCAAAATCATTTACATCTTTCATTTTCTCTAAAACTCATTATAAAAACTCAAAAGACGATTTGTGAAAGGGAGTTAATACAACCCATCATTTTGGGAGGAGGGTGCTTATGGAGTTTGGCGATGGGTAGGGTAATCCGGAGAACGCGAAGGGCCAGGTGCTGGTTTTAGAATGTTTTTAAAAATTAAGAACGTTTATCATTTATGCTCTTCTGTTGGAATATTTATAATTGTACCCGCGGACAAAGTGGGACACACCTTTTCCTATTTTTCTATAACAAGTTATAAACTGGCAAAGAAAAATTTGGATATGATCTGAAATTCGGAGGAAAGAAAAAGATTATCTATTAAGAAAAGTCGTATTTTTAAAGGAACCCAATAATAATTCAGCTTCTCAAGCCAATCAGGAGAAGGGCAATATCGTGACCAACTGAGGCTTGCTGCCCTTCTGTCTCCTGACCAAAAGTGCAATCTTAGACAAGTTTGATTAAAAGGAAGCCTGGAAGAGGAAATTGTTTCTTAGAAAATTTCCACAAAATCGAGTTGCATAAAGAAATTTTAATTCGGTTCCCCAGGTAGAACTGATTATATAGACGTTCAGAATTAAAAGCTCGGAGAGCTGCTCGCTTATTCGGGTTGAGAAGCAGGGGTTTCCCCCCCCCCCGAAAAGGAAAAAGGCGAGCAGGGGGATTTTAGAGAAATGAAATTGTTGGGAATGTAAAGTCGCCAAGGAAGTCTTGATACTGTATTGCAGCCGCTGCCGGCACCTCTCGCCCTCCTCCCCCCCCTCCCCGCCCCGTTAATGTGAGCGAAGCAATTGATTCACATGGAAGATTTGATGTTTTAAAGCGCCGTTTTAACTTGAAGCTTCTCCCCTGGTATGGAGAGCGAATCGTTGGATTCTCTATGAATATTTCAGCACTTCAGGATGGATGCTTTACCGTTTTGACATTAAATAGAAGCGCAGCCAAGAAGAAGAAGGAGTGCTCCCCCCACGGCGCGGGACTTTCTCGAGAAACGTCGGGCAATTTGCCACTTAGCCTGCAGAAGACAGCGCCGTCAAGATCCCCTCTCGCGGCCGCCTGGGGATGGAGACGGGGAGCAGTCTGCGGGTTACAGGGAAAGCGAGGGTTGCCTGAAGTCTGTCCTCTGATTGAGACGCTTTAAAAGACATCCTTTCATCATTCCGACCGGCAAAATAAATTAATAAATGAACTTTGTAAATTCCATAGAAATAATTTTGAAAGGAATATTAAAAGCCATGGAACTAAAAGTTGTCCGGTTAAATTCACCGGGTGTGTGTGAGGGTGGGGATTTAAATCTCTGGGACGGTTCCTTTAGAGCGAGTGGATTTCTGGCCAGGGGCTGGTTCTGGTTTCTCCGGAGAGGGGTCTTGGATGGGATCACGCAAGAGGCCTCTGCCTGGAAAGGCCCTCTGCCTCCCCCGTTCCCCCCCCCCACACACACACACCTCAGCCCGCCTTCAAAAGCCAGTATGTGTTTGGTCTTGCTGTTATTCTGAACCACATACGCGCAGGATTAAATTGCTAACACAAAAACATACGGCGCTGTTAAGAGAGTTCTGAGGGAAGCTTGTGTGTGTGCTAGCTGCATTTGTCATCAGTCAACACCAACTCCTAAAATAGACCGAGTGCGAGATATTGCAATTTAAAAACGCCACCCACTAAGTAATGTTCATCAGATTTATTCTGAACTGAGTTTGTGATTGTGCGTAAAGTCTGCGCCCCCACACCTCTTCAGGGCGCCAATTCAACCTTCCAACCTCTAATCCTTGGCCTGACTCATATTTTCTCAAGAACTTTATTTGGTGGGCTGCAATGCGGAGCACTGGAAAGCAGAATTGTACTAACAATCACCTGCGATTCCAAGTCAGAAAGGGAGCGAAGAGTGGATCCGGAACTCCAGCGACTCTCTTTTTGTCCAACAGCAACTTTAGACCAGCCAGGCGCCCAATTTTAGGGACCGCTGCCGGACTGGAGCTGCGAGGTAGCCGAGAGGCGCTCTGGAGCCGAGTGCCGAAGGAAAGGAGCCCCGCGCAGCCTTTCCTCCGCTCTCTTCACAAGCGGCCCTAATTGGACTCCGAACTTCCCCTTTCCTTGTCCTCCTCCTCCTCCACCCTGTCATTATATTGACTTTCGCTCTCTGGGATGATATTATCGGAACCTCTCTGCTGATGGGGGCTGTCAAAAGGCGGAGACGGGAGGCTCCCGGCCTGGGGAAAAGAAGGAGGGGGGAGAGAAAGAGGAGAAGCGGGGGCCCGTTGCATCAGCCAAGATAATTTGAAGTGAAAATTTCATTTTGACAGGAAAAGAGGGAGGGGGGGGGACAACCAACCTCTTCAATTTCTAAAAGGCTCTGCATCCAGAGATCTCGGTGGCAGGGAGCGAGGGTGGAAGCGGGGGGGGGGGGGGCGAAGAGGGAGGGGGAAGGAAAAGGGTGGAGGGAACGAAAGGAGGGCAGACCTCGCAGAAAGCCACGTCTTGGAGCTGAAAAGGGCAAAAGAACTCGAATTAGTTGTAATAGATAAAAAGGGCAAAAATAAAGAGTCAAGGGTACTTGACAGTAAGAGCGAAAAGTGGAGTCTCCGGGGAGACGGGTTTGCAGCCAGAGGCTGGACCAAGAAGAATGTTAATGCCGTCTGGACAAGCGGGTGGCTGCCGAGAAAGGCGCTGGCGGAGAGAGAGAGACAAAGCAAATCCTCTTGGCAGCTCAAAGAAGGGCGGGAGGCCGCGTGAGAGGGAGGGAGGGAGGGAGGGAGGGAGGGCGGGAGGAGGAGTGACTGGGGGGGAAGGTCCACCCTCCGGCGTGGGCAACTGGAAATAAGCCCCCAAATTCATGGGGGGGGGGATTGAGATAGTATCTTCAAGAAAAGCTCTCGCTCCGTCATCTCTCGGTGGACCCTCGTGACTCTAAATAAATATATCCTGCCTGGGAGAATCACTTGTTTTGTCCAAAGATTTGTCTTTCGCGCCTTGCGGTTCTTTCCCCCCCCCCCCCTTATTAAATCTCCACATTTTCCTAAGCCAATCAAATATTTACTTTGGCACCACCGAGCCAAGAAAAGGGGTTGCCAAGCGTCAAAAAGACACAAGGCAGTTCCCACCCCACCCCGGAAGCCAACCAATTCCTCAGAAAATGCCAGGCCGCTGTCGCGTCTCTCTCCCAAACCTCTCCCTCTCCCGGATACTGATATCCAGGAGAAGAGAACCCCTCTTCTTCGCCGGCTTTGGTTCGGTTGGAGCAGGAAGCCAAACGCACGAGAGAAAAATCTCTTAACATCCCTTTCACTTCCGGCGAGAAGGGCAAGGTCCGAGTTAAGGTTCTCGCCTGGCAGCAAACGCAACTTAAAAGCGCCTTAGGTACGCCAGTTGAGGAACGGGCCTCTTTTGGCAAGCGGAGTTAAACTGCCCTTGGAGCGGCGCCTAAATTTGGGAGGACCGTACCCACTATCGGAAATACCGTAGTTTCTATAGGTTCCTTTAAAAAAATAATAATAAAAACCGGGATCTGCATGCTGGGATCTAGGCTGACTAGCAAAAGGCGGGAAGGTTTCTGGAAATTAGAAAATAATAGCAAGAGCAGCGGGGGGCGGGGGAAGAGAGGCGCAAACCTGGGAATGGCTCTCCAGCAGCGACACTTCGGAGCGGCGAAACAAGTCGCTCTCCGTGGCCTCAGTTCCTTGGGGGGGGGGGAATCTCCCACACCGAAACAGGTGTTGTTGTTTTTTTTCTCAAACTGGCGCGGCAGAACTTCATCTGGGCAGATTGGGTGCCTTCTGTGTTCATACCAAGAGGGCCGAGATCTACCGATTCCCAAGAAAAAGGCTGAACGGTCGCAGGGAAATTAATCACCAGCATGGCTGGATCGATACTTCCACATCTCACAGGTGCAACCGTAGGTTTTTGTTTTTTTTAAGGGAAGTTCTCCGATCTCCTCGAGGCGGCGTGTTGAAAGTGTGTGTGTGTTCCTGTGCGTGAAAGAAATTATCGAGCATGTAAGGGGGCGCCTCTATAAGTCATTTGGCCGTGGCAAATTCCAACCCACCGCGGAGGAGACGGGAAATTAACGGCGCCTTTTTACATAGGGCCCACATAAAACTGTAATCAGCGGCGCGTTACTTTTCATTAAGAGATGTTGACAGCGCGGCAGCGGCGGCAGCAGCTTCAATCTCGACAAGGGAATAGGAGCAAGGGAAGGGGGGGTCTCTCCCGGCCGGAGTCATAAGATAATTCCTTAAACTCCATTAACAACTCTTAGCCGCAGGAAATGGGCTCCCTGAAAACATCTTCAAATCTAAAAGCTTTATCGACCTCGCAAACCTCGGCTGATGGGCCTGTTTCTTTATTTTCTTTCCTTTAAAAAAAAAAAAAGAGTGCTTAAAAAAAAAAAACCCTCGGAAGAAGCCAGCCAGGCAGTAGACTTTGACACAACGCTTCTTATGGAGGTGGGAGAAGAGGGAAGACGGGAGAGCAAGACCTT